AAGATAGTAATTTAATGATGATTTTCTCGAATCAGGCTTCCCTGGAAGCCAGATAGTTGGCGGCAAAGACGCTCCAGTTGGTGAGTTTCCCTACCAAGTGTCTTTGAGAAAAAATGGAAACCACTTCTGCGGTGGATCCATCTTGAGTCAGCATGACATCCTCACTGCTGCTCACTGCGTCCAAGGGTAGGTTTCCTCAAAAGTATTCTCGATATTAGTAGCCGGATCGGTGTGTCGACGCCTTCAATTATGCATTAAGTTATCCCATAAGTTCGTGCCGAAAGTGAAAAATATTTTAACGAAAACCCAAGGAAGTACTACTAAAATAAAATAGAAAAGAGTTGTAGAATGAGAAAAAACTTACGCTTTTTTTAAATCAAATTTAAAGATTCGTTGGAAATATTGAAAATTCGACAAGAATTCATAGGATGACCTGATATCTACCTGTGACTACAGTTACTCACAAAAATTTCGAGACAAATACATAGGACATAATAAATTTAGTGACTTCTCATCCTGAAACGTCATTTAGCAGCCAGACACTGTCGTGAACTGAAAAAAGTGACAAATCCAATACTTGGATAAATGAAAAATCGTCCTCATCTGTACTAACTAAAGAGATACGAGATTAGTGTGAAAATTATCGTCTAAGGTTCTAAATTTCTTTTTTCTGATTCAAGTGCGCGCTCATGGGTTAGTATATTATCGGTGAAATGTGTTCTGCTATGGGGGTGTGCGTTTCAGAACGTTTATTCGTTATTGAGAGATTGGAGATGATTTTTCCTGAGAATTCGGTTTTTTAATTTTTTTAGTTTTTTAATTTGTATTGGTGGCCTTTGAGACACACGTGCTAGTTAATTAGCTTGTTTATGAAAAAGTCTTAATTGAAAGGGACAGTGGTTCACGTGGATACCGTGAAAAAGGAAGTTAGAGAAAGCATCTAACACAGTTATATTCTCGATTAAGAGTTAAATTACCCAATAAAATAATCTGTATATTCTTGTAAAGTCTTGCGTATTCTTCTGAACGAATATAAGAATTTTTAGAATATCCTTGCACTTTCGAATACTTGGTTAACACGATTCTTATTCAAGATGATCGTTGATCGCTGACGATTTCAATAAAAGGTGACACGTTTGCCCGACAGACTGAAGAACGTGAAAGATATCACTGTTCACGTTGGAACAACCCAACTGAAATCAGGTGGAGAATCCTACGGAGTGCAGAAAATCGTCGCACATAGCGGGTTCAGTATGACCAGCCTCCTTAACGACGTTGCTGTGATTCGCGTGGACAGGAACATCAAGTTCAGCAACTTGGTGAAACCAATCAGTTTGGCTACCAGCGGCACCTTCGAAGGATCACCATGCGTCTTGACTGGATGGGGAACCACACGTGTAAGTATCGAGAAATATGGACACTTTCGTTCAAAAGTGTGTTCACACTTGTGAACTGAACCTTTCAGTTTAAATTTGAGAAATCTTGAAATTTTGCATTGAGCAGTTTTCAATTATCACACTTGAAAGTTTGAGCAGTTTTCTATTATCTTACTAGGAAGCATTGAGCAGTTTTCAATTAATTTTAATCAATTCCTGTAAATTTCTATTACAGGTGGGAGGAAATGTACCAAACAACTTACAAATGATCGACTTGGTCATTGAAACCCAGGCAAAATGCAAGAAGGCCCACTGGAGAGTGCGGGATTCACACATTTGCACTTACACTAAAGTCGGCGAAGGTGCATGCAACGTAAGTACACTTACTGCATTTTACTTTTCATTTTGATTCGTAATTCTATCATCAAAATTGCTACTTTCTTGAAGAAAAAGTAGCTACTACCTTCAGACCTCGTTAATACCCTCTTCTAATTTACAACACAGAAGTTAAAGAATCAGATTTCGAAAGACTAAAAATCCTTTTATAGATTTACTTTTAATTTTTATTTCTATTTCTGTGGTCAATTTTAAATGCTATTAAAAAGTAGCTACTTTCTCGAGACCTGGTCCATTCTTTTTTCTAATTTTCAACACAGAAGTTAACGAATTAGATTTCGAACAACTAAAAATCTTTCTACGAAACAAAATGTCAGTCATATGATTGTCGAACTCGTAATGATTTCCTTTTTTCTCTGGAATTTCAGGGTGACTCTGGCGGTCCTCTCGTTGTCCACGGCGTCCAAGTTGGTATCGTTTCCTTCGGCCAACCTTGTGCTGTCGGCAAACCTGACGTATACACAAGAGTATCGTCCTTCGTATCTTGGATCAAGAACCAGCAAAGCTTCCTGAGCCAGGACCTCGAAGTGGCGCCACAAGACGCGATCTACATTGCTTAAGCCTGCTCCTATAACTTTTCCCTCGCAAATTATTCAGAATAATTCAACTTTCCCCGTTCAACTGGTTAAAAAAGTAATATAAACCTGTTATATTGAACCTTTCTTCCTTTTTTGGAAGAAACTGCGTGTAAATCGAAATTCACATTTTGTCCCAATAAATTCTCTGTATATAATTAATCATGTTGTTTTGTATTTATACAAGTTGTGACAAACTAAAATTCATAATGGGAGGATACAGTTGGTGAAAGAAGAGTAAAATTCTCAAGAGAAGTTTAAAAACCTGAAAATTTCAAAAAATTTTCGAAGAGCATACTTTTTCTTCAAAATTTACTATCTTTGCCCTTTTTCCGAAAATTCTTTACCACCACAATGTAGGACATTGAAAACTATAC